GAGGTCTGCCAACAACCAGGACATGAACTTGGAAGTGGATTCTCCAGCTCCAGTCAAGTATGGAGGTGACTGCAGACCCAGCGGGCAGCCTGACTGCAATCCCATGAGAGACCCTGAGCCAGAACAACCTGGCTAAGCAGTTCCTGGACCCCTGACCCCCTGACACTGTGAAATAATCAATGTTTGTTTAAAGCTGCTAAATTTTGAGTTACTTGGTTACACAGCAGTAGAGATGTCCCTTTTACCAGCTGGCCTTTGTGGCACTGTGCACTCGTCTTTCCATCTCTGCTCCCTCCACCTGTCTTGTCATTGCCTTGTGCACCTCCATAACTCCTCATTACCAGCCATCTGAGGCCAAATCCAGAAGTTTTGACGAAACTTGCTGACTCACTGGTGATACCAATAGGAGTAGATGTGTGGTTAACATCAGAATTTGTGAAAAGTTTAATAAAGGGATTATTTGCGATTGTAAGGGTAGAGGGTAATCACAAGGAACACTGCAGAACCCAAAGGCTAGTGAAGGTGGCGTGCTGTTTATGGCATGAAAGGGAAAGGGAGGGGGTACTTCCTGGAACCGGGAGACAGAGCTGTGCGAAGTGGGCCCCTGGCAGGAGCTGGGCCTTGGGGTCCAGGACAGAGCCAGGCGTTCGCAGCCCTGGGGTGGAGGGTAGAAATGCAATCTGTCTCAGCGCTTGCTGGCACTTAACCTCTTAGTTGAATCCATCAGAAAGCTAGACATCAGGGAAACCTATTTCAGTTTGGGTTTCCTCAGAAGCAAGACTATGGGATAAGTGAGTTGAAGTGAAAGTCTATTTAAGTGCAAATTTGTTTGAGAGGTTCGGGGTGCACCAGTAGAGTAAGGGAGTGATACAAGGAAGAGAAGGCGGCCAATACGATTGTGTTATTAAGCCAGCTGTAATAGGGGTTTAGTCCCACAGAGAAACTCTGGGAAACAATATAAACACATGCCCCAGAATTATTCCACCAAAGGGGAAGGGAGTTGGGGCACTTATGCCCCTAGTGTCTGGTTGAGGGCTGCTCCTGCGATTGGGTTATTTCTTGGGTACTTTTGGATTGTCAGTGTGGCAGACTGGCCTTCTTATGGGTCTGAGGACATCCCTCAGACACAAAGATGCTGATCCTGGCAGTTGGAAGTCTGGGAAGAACTGAAGTGGGTGAGGTCCAAGGAATTGGAGCAGGGCATTGACAGGGCTTGCTACAGGGCTCATTGATGGCAGCCGGATGTGGTACCACCCCATGCACTAAGTAAGATGGAGAAGTGTGTGGAGGGTGAATCTGGAGGGACATATCAAACTTAAATGCATATTTAAAGTAAATAAGTAATATTTACCAACACTCTAAATTTTAATATCACTGTTTAGGTGTCAGGACAATTTTTCCTCTTGATTCTCACAGCTATTGTTCTCTGTCTATCACAGCCATGCATCTAATGGTCTGCTTGTATTTTGCATTGTACACTAGCTAGGTCAGGAATCACCCCATTTCATAGAGAAGAAGACAGAGGTACAGAGAGTACTTGGTTCAGCAAGAGTCAGTTAGGTGTAGAATATTTAGAATCAGTTCCGCCACTTACTGGCCAGCTAATCAGAGACAAGTTAACAGATCTTCTTCGGGCCTCTGTGTTCTCATGTATAAAATGAGGGTTAATAACATTTTCACTATAGAATTGTTGCAAGGACTAAACGGTATGGCAGTACGTAAAACACTTGCTACATGGTAAGTGCTCAAGAAGTGTTCTTAAAGTAAATAATCTTTTTTGAAATGGAAATAAAGGCAAAGGCTTTTATTATACAGGGTGGGGCAAAAGCAGGTTTATAGTTGTTCTTATGGAAAGTAATCTAATAATACATAATAATACAAGAATAAACTCTGTGCTTCACGTACTCACAATGATAAACCTACTTTTGCCCCACCCTGTATATTTTTTCTTGAGACCACATTTACTTCAAAAATTATACTAACCAGGCTGAGGGTTTCTGCCAGCAATAGGCATTCTTTTGTCTCTCAGCTACATGACTGTAATAATTGAGCACTTTGGAATTAAGCCATGAGAATTGATTCAAATAATTATAACCACACTAATGAGACCACATGACTATCACTCCACGTCAAAGCTACAAAATGCAAGCCTTCCATTTCCTTTTCTTTCTTCCTGTCTGCTCAGTTTGTTTTCCCTTAAATTCCACATGTTTGGAAAATTCCGTCATTTCCCCTCCTGGCCCAATCATTAGCTCAATGAGGTCTTTCAGCTACAATTTAAAAAGTTGTAATTGAAATAAAAATTCCTGCTTCAGTTTTCAGGCCCAAAGCATATTTCTTTTCAGAGTTAGCAAGCACGCGGGGGTTCCCCCAAAAGTAAGAGGCATTTGGCCCAAGGATTTGTAGAGCAAAAAGAACCTTGGGAAGTCTTCTAGGGGCAAAGAGGAAGGGAGGGGGAGACAAAAGGAGAGTCTTAGGAGTCCTGGTGCCCAGTGCCTGATTTCTTGAGAAGAACTGAGCTGTCTAGGGGTCTGTAAGGAGGGAGCTGACATCTCAGACAGGACATGTCTATCAGTGGAACAAGATGGATCACCCCACACAGATATGCTTTTAACTCAAAACTGTAATAATCTTAAGATCCTTGAGCCTTGCCTTTAAAAGCATTTTGGAAGTGCAAATGAGTTCAGAGAATAGCTAATTCAACTCCCTTCTTTTCATTTTTGGGGTCAAAAGATCGAGGGAGGGGAAGATCACATGACAAACTAGTGATAGAGCCAGGACAAGAAGCCACAGTTTAGTGCTGTTTTGTGCCAGCTTAGGGCCCTTTACTTTGTCCCATGGTGCACCCACTTCCCTCTGTCTCACAGACCTTCTCCTTTCCAATAGAATCCTCTGCAATGTCTCTCTGCTTGTATACCTCCAGGGTTGGGGAGCTCACGACATCCAAGAAAGCCCATTCTCTTCCATTTTCAGGCAACTCTCTTAAAAATTCTTAGAGTGAGATGATATCTGCCTCTTCTCAACTGGAACTCTTTGATTCTAGGTTGGCCTTCAACTAGGCTCCCTCTGCCCCAGGACATACCTCAGAGTTTTGCTTAGAGTCCTCCCAGCTACCATGAGTCCCCCCATCTCTAGACCAAACAGCTTGATTTCTTGCAATTCTGTCTTTTTTAGTCTGTTTTAGAAGCTGAGAGGATTTTTATCATCTAGACAGACAATGACCTAGTTCAGGTTTCCTTCAGACTGTGGTGGCCAGGAGGAAACACAAATGTGATGGTTAATTTTATGTGTAAATTTGGCTGGGCCAGGGTACCCTGATACTTGGTCAGACATATCTTGGTGTTGCTGTGAAGGTGTGTTTTTAGATAAGATTGACATTTTAATAAGTAGACTTTGAGTAAAGCAGATTCTTCTCTATAATGTCGGTGGGCCTCATCCAATCAGTTGAAGGCCTTAAGAGAAAAGACTACCTCTGAGGAAGAAGGAATTCTGCCAGCAGATGGCCTTTGGACTCAAGCTGCAACTTGACAACTCTTCCCAGGTCTCTTGCCTGCTGGTCTGTTTTGCAGATTTTGGGGTTGTCAGCCTGTATGATCATGTGAGCCAATTTCTTAAAAATCAATCAATCGTTCTTTACACACACACACGCGTGCGCGCACACACACAAACAGTTGGTTCTGTTTCTTTGGAGAACCATGACTAATAACAATAAGTTTTCAAGCATACAGCTGTCATTAGGCACAACCCAAGAACTAGAAAGAAAAGCCTTGGTTGACCTCTCATCTTCCTTGAACATTCATTTATTCAACAAATGGAGCATTTGTTCTGTACCAGATGCTGGTGATAGACAAGAAAATATTGCAACCAGAGTTCTGAACTTAAAGCCTTGATAAAATCAGACCCTGCCCAAAATTGTTATTGCAGAGTGGCATAGAATTTAGGCTCTGGTATCAGACAGCCTATTCTGGCGACCTTGGGAAGCCACTCAACCTTCCTGAGCCCCATTTTAGTTTTTCCATCTATAAAAGGAGGCATGTGGATGAGATGATCTTTAATTTTCCTTTTATTTTGAACATGCTCAAGGCCTGAGCTACTGCTTTTCAGGAGAGTAAGACTGAAGATCACTGGACTACTGAATTAAAATTGATGGATGCCAAGATAGGACCTGCAGTCCTGGTCACTGGGTGGGTCACGGAGGTGAGCAGGGGATCACAGAGTGGCTTTGCCTTCTGTGGAAGCTGGGTGGGGACTGGTAGGGCATGGCAGGCCTCTCTGAGGCTAAGCTGTAATGGGCCGTTATCACCTTGGACTGAACTATTTCACTGTTATCAGAAAATAAACAGGATGCTCAGAGATAAGTTACAGCAGACAACCAACCAGCAAAGGTCTAAGTCAGCAATTTTCAACAAGTGTGCAGCAAGAATTTTTAAACCATGTAATACCTATTTATTCAGGAGCACTGACCCCTTTTCTCTTTGTCAAATGACAACAGCCAACACAATAGCTGTCAGGTGTGGATGAATCCAAATTATAGCGCTTTCTTTTTTTGTCAGATGGACAGGGCTGGGAGACAGGTGTTAGTATCCTGACTTGACAGAGAAGGCAAGTCCACAAAGCGAAGTTTCTTGTTAAGGATCCTACACACATTGCAAAGCAGGAGCTCAGCGTCCAGCCCCTCCACGCAAATCCGTTGGTTAGACCTGTCCCTACCTAGACTACAGCTGGAAAGGCTCTTGGAGGACACATTTTAGGTCAGCCGTCTCCAATACCGAGAGCGGAGCCCCCAAGGGCTAAGTGACTAGATTTGGCGAGGGCGTGACAAGACTGCGAGGGGAACCTGAGACTCCGCGGTCTCTACTCTCGCTGGCTGGCTCATTTCTCACCCGCAGCCCACGGGGAGCTGGGGGAGGAGCTGAGGGTGGCTGCGGCCGGGCCCCGCTTTCCGGGGGCGGTCCCTGGCGGCCGCGAATTCCAGAGCCACCGATCAAAGCTCCCGGTGCCCAGCCGCGCGTCCCAGCCGCCGCTGCGCGCTCCCGCCTTCGGGGCACAGAGGAGCCGGGCAGGTCCTGGGCCGAAGATTCCAGGGCTGGCGGCCGCTTCCCGCTCCGGGGACCCGGAGAAGCGCTCGAACCGTCCCGTCCCAGGAACTTTCCTCGAACCTGGCGCGATCCGGCTGCGGTGGGGAACCTGCGTTTTAAAATCAGCTGTTGCGGAGCCAGGGTGAGTGGGGCCGTCGGGGGTCGTGCGTAGGTCTCCGGTCCTCGTGCTGCCCTCTGTCCTAGTGCCCTCCCAACTCTCCTCCTTTCCCCCTCTTCTCCTGCATTTCCCCCTTCATCGCGTTTGAATTTCCCCTTTTCCTTTCTTCCAGCCCTTAAGTTCCAGCCGCCTTCTACACGCGGTCTTGGGCCTCAGGGGAGGCCCAGCCCGTCCTTCTGTTCGGTTGTCGGTCCCGATTGTCCCAAAGCACCGACGTGGAAGGCTCCAGGCGTTTGGAGTCAGCCCTGGCCTGTCACTGGCACATTCGCCGCCCTGTCCCCGAGCCTTGTTTCTATCTGTGAAATGGGGAAAATAGCCTTGGCATACAAAAATCCGATGAGAAAGGGGTGTGCAAATTATCTTGGAGAGAAAGAAGCCTTCCTTTCAGGCTCCCACCTCTCCTCCTCCACCTCTCTACTGAGTGAGGAGGTTGTTCCGGTTGCCTGTTCTCTTGCACCCCTGTCCCTTCCACAGATTCCTTGAGGGTGGGGACTGTCTCCTCCGCTCATCTTGAGGCATCCTCAGCACTTGGCCCAGGGCCTGGCACATAGGCTCTCAGTGCTGTGTACTGAGAGCAAGAAGGAGAGACGCCAACCATACAGATCTGCACCACTGTCAGAAGTTATTTTGATTGAGTGGTCAGGCTGGGCTCATTCCTGAATCTCCACTTGTTTCTTCCTGAGAGCACGGGTCCTGTTGGCCCCTGATTCTCAGCATCCCCACTGTGTCTATAGATTCCTCAAAGCTCTAGGCTGTAGTCGTGAAAGTTGCTCAGTCATTCACGTATCAGAGCTTCCTTGCACACCTGTGGAAATGGTCAGGAAGGGTTGTGAATGCCTGGATGGGGTCCAGGGTGGGGGTGGGGTGGAAAGAACAGTTCCCTGGGAGTCAGGAGACACTCTGAGTTACGTAGCTTGATGGGGCATTTCCACTGTCTGCACCTCGCCTTCCCATCTGTAAAATGAGGACACAGGGGTTAAACGGATGGGCATCTGTGGTTGAGCACCCTGTGCTCTTTGGGTTATGTAGGCCACTCAGCAATCCTCCAGACACGTTCGAGACAGCCCAGCTGAGCTCAGGACATCACGCATGTCTGCAGTAACAACTGAAAAGGCCAAGAAGTGCTTCTGAGCTCCAGTAGGGACCTCCTGTTTCCAGCTGTCCCGGGATTATGAATCATGCCGTGGAGGTTACAAGTCATGCTCCATCAAATCTTCCAAACAGTGACCTCTCAGGGTGTCAGAGCTGTGGCTTCCATTGCATAAAAGGTCTTGGGAATTCCCCCTTTCTGGCGTAGCCTGAGAATCACTGAGGTGTTTGACATATAACACAAATTGGAGACTGTGGTGGGGAGGGAAATGGGTCTGATGTGGTCGGGTTGCATTCTGAGCTCAGAGGTGACAGACCCAGGGGTAAAGAGGCGGTCACAGCCTCAGATGTTTTCCCAGCTACATTCTGATCCTTCTTTGAAAATGTGCTTCTGTTTCTTTTCCATGGATTAAACTTACAAAGGAGACAATCTCTAAGGAAAGAGGATCTTTATCTGAGCGGATCTTACATTGCCGCTATTGGCTGTGGTATCAAAGGTAGACACATGTCCTCACACTCACAGTTTATAGGAATAAATGCTGCTATTACCACACCCTGAAGATCTTACCCCGATTGGCTAGGTAAGATGTAAGCATTATCATATTTGACATATATATATTGAGTGCTATGAGCCACGCATTATTCTAAGCATTTTATATGTATTAACTCATTTAGTCTACTTCAACCCTATGAGGTAGGGACCATTATTACATGCATTTTATAGATGAGGAAACTGAGGTCCAGAGAGAGAGTAAGTGACTCACCCATGGTCACTCAGGAAGTGGCAGAGCTGTACTTTGAACCCAGGCAGTGTAGCTCCAGGGCCTATGTTCTAAGTTGCATTGGTACTGGGGGTTCTGGGTTCAGATCTTGCTTCTGTCACTTACTTGCAGGGTGACCTAGGGGGAGTTAACTGAGAATTTGACAGCCACTGGACTAGTGAATTACTAGGAACCCTAGTACCCTTCCAGTTCACCAGGGAAACAGGCAATGAACGTCAAGTGAGAATAGTGTATTTCAGGAGTTAGGTGGCCAGGAAGGGGAACAAGTCGGAGTTATTACCCTCTGACACATTAGGCAATAGCAAACCAGAGTCAGTACAAAACTGTGCACTTGAGATTGCTTACTTGATTTGGACTCAGGTGGGCTGATTGGGCATGTGAATTACTGGTGACCCACTACATAGGATCAGGGAAAATGAAATGGAAGAGAGAAGGAAAGACAGAGAAAATTAAACAGTGTTTCAATTAATGATGACACATATCTGGGACACATGTTCCTATTCCCTCACCCTGTGCCCCAGGCAGACATTGATCGTCAGGAACTTGCACGTAAACGCCACAGGTCCAGGAAATCCTCCTTAACTCAGGCCTCTGGACAGCCTCTTCCAGCTGACTGTGAGGTTTTTATCTTGTTCACCCAAACTTCCAACTTCCTTCCCCTAGGGTAAGGTCAAGGAAGTACCGAATGACAAAGCAGGAGACCTTTCTTTCTGAGTGCCCTGGTGGCATCTTAGGAGACACTTTGAGGTTTTTAAAAGATTAATCTTCTCTCCCCCTCATTCTTTTCTATTTTTTCTTTAATGGTTTTCAAACGAAGCCCGTCCTAGACCTGGGGCAGGGCTCTAGGGAAGGTGGGATGTCAGGAGAGCAGAGGCAGTCTTTGAGAGCTGGCCAGTCCCTTAGAGGTCACTTTGTCCATCCTTTCCAATTAACAGGAAACTGAGGCCCAGTGTGAAAGAAGGAATTGTTCAGGATCACACAGTGTACTGGTTTTCTGACGCTGTCACAAATTACCACACGTAATGGCTTAAAAAAAACCAAATGTAATAATATAATTCTGTAGGTCAGAAGTCTCCCTAGAATAAAATGAAGGCATAATTAGGCTGTATTGCCTTTAAGGGAGAATTGATTCCCTACTCATCTGAGTTGTTGACAAAATTCAGTTCCTATGGTTGTAGGACCAAGATCACTGTTTTCTTGCTGACTGTAAGCTGAGGGCCATTTTCTGCTTCTAGAGGTCACTGCATTCCTTGGCTCAGAGCTGCCTTCCAGCATCTTCCAAGCCAGCAGTGGAGAGTCGCGTCCTTCTCCTGGTTAATCTTCTGCCTTCCTCCTCACTTTTAAGGACTCGTGCTTAGATCGGGCTCACCTGAGTAATCCAGGATCGCCTCCCCATCCCCCAGTCCTTCACTCTCATCACATCCACAAAGTCCCATTGCTTCTGTTCTCATGACTCCGCCCTCTGTGTCATGTTTGCTTTTTCACATTCAAGGTTCTGGAGACCAGGACATGGACACCTTTGAGGGGCCATTATTCCCCCTACCACACACACTGAGGCGAGTGATTAGTGCCACTCTGGTGTCCTTGCGCCGTCACTGAGACCCCCCCCCCCCCCCGACGGCCCACCTTATGGGCAGCCTCCTTTGTCCGGCCAGCATGCAGCAGGCACTTACTCACAGACAAGTCACGATGATGGATGGTAGAGGCTTAAACAGGATGCTGTGGATTTGGCCTGGGTTTCTCTTTTGCTGGCTCACTGTTGGTTTCTGAGCCTCTGTGATTGGCTGGATCGGATGGTACGTGCAGTCTTGAACAGCTCTGGCTGTCTTCTGATCTTTTTGAAGTATCCTGGTGTTTTTCCATTTTTCAGCCACAGGGGAGCAGATAGAAACTCAGAGACAGAACAAGTCTTTAGACTGTTAGGAATTTTGGAGGAGACAGAGCCAAATGGGGTAAAATAAAAACAAAGCACTCCTCATGGGCCTCTGGTCATCGGGGAAATGCCTCCAATTTGATTCATTTCATATTTTCAAAGCTGTGTGTCTTGCCCATTCCTTCTGCCGACTCCCTTCTATGAAATGAAAGTTCCCGGTGAAATGGATTTTGTGCTGGATTGGTAAATGCTTGAGACTAACTCTTATATAATGGGAGGGGAACTGTTTTCAAGAGTAAATGTGAGCAGGGATGGCCTTTTCACACTGAGCTCGGCATGGGGAATCTTTTCCCCTTTTATCAGCCTCCTTGACCTCTTCTAAGAACAGAGAGAGAAAGGTCCATACCCTGGGCAGCAATTCCCATACGCCTACACCCACCTCGATGCCCAGTTCCTGAGCCCAGGGAAAGAAAACTCAAATACGAGCTCATGCAGCCCAAGCAAACCAGCAAGAGTGGATCCTAGAGGGCGTTATTCTGGAAGTCCAGCCCTCTTCTGCCTGGTACGTAGAGGGGGAGCTGGGAAAGAGAAGTCCTCATAATCCTTCCTAGATGCACAGAGAGCCCAGAAAATGATCAAACCAGGGGAAGCCGTTTACTCTAGAGATAGGGTTGACTTTCAGGGTCACTGGACTTTCCGCAAGGGTGAGACTCCTTTCCGGACCTCCACCACTTAAGTTCCAGGAGTTGAGCTCAAATTTGAAGTTCCCCAGTTCGTCCATATTCATCCTTCACCGGTCTCAGATTTACTGCGCACTTACTGTGTGCCAGGACCTGGGACAGGTGTTGAGGTTACAGCAGTGGACAGGAGCCGAGGCTCCCGCTGTACTTGGGCTTGCACAGGAGCAGGCCAAGAGGGCCAATAAAAACAAATACATAAGCACACAAACGGGCCAGTTTTAGATTGTGAAAAGTATCTGAATAAAACAAGGTCTGAGATAGGGATCGGCTGGTGGATCTGGAAAGATTTTTCCAAAGAGGTGACATTTAAGTTGAGATTTGGATACTGAGACCCTGGATGTTGAAAAGGAAGACCTGGAGGGGAAAAACATTCTAAAAAGAGGAAACAGCAAGAACAAAGGTCTCAAAGTGGAACACAAGTCATTAGGTTAGCCAGGCCACTAGGTGGCCAGTGGGGCCCCTTCTTGGGACTTGAGCTGT